CACACTTACTTACAACACAATAAACACACACTTACAACACAATAAACACACACTCACTTACAACACAATAAACACACACTCACTTACAACACAATAAACACACACTCACTTACAACACAATAAACACACACTCACAACACAATAAACACACACTCACAACACAATAAACACACACTTACTTACAACACAATAAACACACACTTACTTACAACACAATAAACACACACTTACTTACAACACAATAAACACACACTCACTTACAACACAATAAACACATACTCACTTACAACACAAACACACACTCACAACACAATAAACACATACTCACTTATAACACAATAAACACACACTCACTTACAACACAATAAACACACACTCACTTACAACACAATAAACACACACTCACTTACAACACAAACACACACTCACAACACAATAAACACTCACTCACTTATAACACAATAAACACACACTCACTTACAACACAATAAACACACACTCACAACACAATAAACACACACTCACTTACAACACAATAAACACACACTCACTTACAACACAATAAACACACACTCACTTACAACACAATAAACACATACTCACTTACAACACAAACACACACTCACAACACAATAAACACATACTCACTTATAACACAATAAACACACACTCACTTACAACACAATAAACACACACTCACTTACAACACAATAAACACACACTCACTTACAACACAATAAACACACACTCACTTATAACACAGTAAACACACACTCGCTCAAAACGCTCAGGATTACACCACAATAAACACACACTCACTCATAACACAGTAAACACACACTCACTCATAACACACACACTCACTCATAACACACACACACACTCATAACACAGTAAACACACACTGAAGGAACACTCACCGCTGCAGTGGCTCTGAACACACTCCTGCATGATCCACACTCACATCCAGTCAAACACACACTGAACACTGAAGCTCCTGCGTTCACACACAGATGGGTGAGAGGGGGACGGGCGACACAAACACACACACACACACACACACACACACACACGAGGTCTGCAGGTCTAGACTGAATTGTCTGAGCGAGTCGGTTTTGCATATGAGAACAAAAAGAGCACGAGACAGCTGATGGTGCGAGGCCTGAAGTACGCCACGATCTCACACACACACACACACACACACACACATGCACGCACGGCGCACGCACAATGTCAATAATTTCAGTATGATGTTAAAACTATCAGCGGTTAAAGCCCATTCACAGCAATAACAATATTTCACTATTAAAAGATTATGGTTATAGTTATGACTATTGTTAGTGTGAATGCAATGCGCTTAAACTCATAACAGCTCAGAAACGCCACCGTTTCCTTTATTAATCATTTCTGCATTTCCAAACGTCTCCAAAGACAGTTTCTGGCATAATGTCCGTCTGTCACTCAAATTCAGATTTCCTCAGAATCTATAAAAGTGACATCACTTCCTCCAGCGCATCATCGTCACTGATCTGTCATCAGCTTACAGGAGAACCAATAAATAAACAACAACGAAAGCATCAGTCGTATAAGTTTAGGAACATGCAACACTGACACTGTGACATCTATTCAAAGAGCTGAAGAGAGCAGCTGATGACGGCAAACACACACACACACACACAGATCAGACACAGGGGTCACGAGGGGTCAAAGCTCCTCCCCCGTCTCTCTCTCTCGGGTCAGTCGTGCCAGACAACACTGAACAGACACACAGGAGAGGGGCATGTGTGTGTGTGTGTGTGTGTGTGTGTGAGAGAGAGTGTTTGTTTGTTTAGCTGCAGTCTGGGAACAAATTTGACCTCAGATATTAGTTTAAATCTAACCAAACTTCCCTTTGCGACATTCAGGGCCGTCTTCAACTGGAAGAATTAATAAAATACCAAGTCCTCCAGCTTATATATTTTTTAAATGTGGAAAGACTCTCTTCTGCTCATAAATTGTGAAATATTATTATAATGTAAATCCGCTGTTTTCTATGTGAATATACAGTAAAGTGTAATTTATTCCTGTGATCAAAGCTGAATTTTCAGCATCATTACTCCAGTCTTCAGTGTCACATGATCCTTCAGAAATCACTCTAATATGAGGATCTGATGCTCAAGAAACATTTATGATTATTATCAGTGTTGGAAACAGTTTCATATGTTTGTGGAAACTGTGATACATTTTATTTTTCAAGATTCTTTGATGAATTAGAACGTTCAAAAGAAAAGTTGATTATTCAATTATTAATGATAATAATTAGAAATTATATCTCTCTCTCTCACACACACACACACACACACACACACAGTCTCACAGACGGGTAAGTGGGTGTGGTAGCTGTGTATGTGTGTGTGTGTGTGTGAAAGGTCAAAGGGTGTCACAATTTGCTTGCTAATTTCCATGGGAATGACAATGCAGAGAGAGACACAAAGAGAGAGAGAGAGACTCTCTCGCTCTGACTTACGAGCGCTGGCGTTCACAGCGAACCGACTGTGGGAAACACACTATAAAACACCCGTCCTGGATGCTGATTGGTTCTCTACTCTACATTAATATTAGATTTAACATCAGGCTTTGTCAATCATCAGATATTGGCCAGAACATCTGATTTGGTCCACATATAAATTCAAATTTGCTTTATTGGGATGACATATTACATATTATATATATATATGAGTACAGAGTATAAACAGCATCATGTGCTTATGAATGCAGTTATGAATGTAATAACTTGTTTAGTAGACGAGTGTGTTTGGCAGACGAGTGTGTTTGGTAGACGAGTGTGTTTGGTAGACGAGTGTGTTTGGTAGACGAGTGTGTTTGGTAGACGAGTGTGTTTGGCAGACGAGTGTGTTTAGAAGATGAGTGTGTTTGGCAGACGAGTGTGTGTGTTTGGCAGACGAGTGTGTTTGGCAGACGAGTGTGTTTGGTAGACGAGTGTGTTTGGCAGAAGAGTGTGTTTGGCAGACGAGTGTGTTTAGAAGATGAGTGTGTTTGGCAGACGAGTGTGTTTGGTAGACGAGTGTGTTTGGCAGAAGAGTGTGTTTGGTAGACGAGTGTGTTTGGCAGACGAGTGTGTTTGGTAGACGAGTGTGTGTGTTTGGCAGACGAGTGTGTTTAGAAGATGAGTGTGTTTGGCAGACGAGTGTGTTTAGTAGACGAGTGTGTTTGGCAGACGAGTGTGTTTGGCAGACGAGTGTGTTTGGCAGACGAGTGTGTTTGGCAGACGAGTGTGTGTGTTTGGTAGACGAGTGTGTTTAGAAGACGAGTGTGTTTGGCAGACGGGTGTGTTTGGCAGACGAGTGTGTTTGGTAGACGAGTGTGTTTGGCAGAAGAGTGTGTTTGGTAGACGAGTGTGTTTGGCAAACGAGTGTGTTTGGCAGACGAGTGTGTTTAGAAGATGAGTGTGTTTGTCAGACGAGTGTGTGTGTTTGGCAGACGAGTGTGTTTGGTAGACGAGTGTGTTTGGTAGACGAGTGTGTTTGGCAGAAGAGTGTGTTTGGTAGACGAGTGTGTTTGGCAAACGAGTGTGTTTGGCAGACGAGTGTGTTTAGAAGATGAGTGTGTTTGGCAGACGAGTGTGTGTGTTTGGCAGACGAGTGTGTTTGGCAGACGAGTGTGTTTGGCAGACGAGTGTGTTTGGCAGACGAGTGTGTTTGGCAGACGAGTGTGTTTAGAAAATGAGTGTGTTTGGCAGACGAGTGTGTTTAGTAGACGAGTGTGTTTGGCAGACGAGTGTGTGTGTTTGGCAGACGAGTGTGTTTGGCAGACGAGTGTGTTTAGAAGATGAGTGTGTTTGGCAGATGAGTGTGTGTTTTTGGCAGATGAGTGTGTGTGTTTGGCAGATGACTGTGTGTGTTTGGCAGATGAGTGTGTGTGTTTGGCAGACGAGTGTGTTTGGTAGACGAGTGTGTTTGGCAGACGAGTGTGTTTAGAAGATGAGTGTGTTTGGCAGACGAGTGTGTGTGTTTGGCAGACGAGTGTGTGTGTTTGGCAGACGAGTGTGTTTGGCAGAAGAGTGTGTTTGGCAGAAGAGTGTGTTTGGCAGACGAGTGTGTTTAGAAGATGAGTGTGTTTGGCAGACGAGTGTGTTTGGTAGACGAGTGTGTTTGGCAGAAGAGTGTGTTTGGCAGAAGAGTGTGTTTGGTAGACGAGTGTGTTTGGCAGACGAGTGTGTGTGTTTGGCAGACGAGTGTGTTTAGAAGATGAGTGTGTTTGGCAGACGAGTGTGTTTAGTAGACGAGTGTGTTTGGCAGACGAGTGTGTTTGGCAGACGAGTGTGTTTAGAAGACGAGTGTGTGTGTTTAGTAGACGAGTGTGTTTGGCAGACGAGTGTGTTTGGCAGACGAGTGTGTGTGTTTGGTAGACGAGTGTGTTTAGAAGACGAGTGTGTTTGGCAGACGGGTGTGTTTGGCAGACGAGTGTGTTTGGTAGACGAGTGTGTTTGGCAGAAGAGTGTGTTTGGTAGACGAGTGTGTTTGGCAGACGAGTGTGTTTGGCAGACGAGTGTGTTTAGAAGATGAGTGTGTTTGGCAGACGAGTGTGTTTGGCAGACGAGTGTGTTTGGCAGACGAGTGTGTTTGGCAGACGAGTGTGTTTAGAAAATGAGTGTGTTTGGCAGACGAGTGTGTTTAGAAGATGAGTGTGTTTGGCAGACGAGTGTATTTGGCAGACGAGTGTTTGGCAGACGAGTGTGTGTGTTTGGCAGACGAGTGTGTTTGGCAGACGAGTGTGTTTGGCAGACGAGTGTGTTTAGTAGACGAGTGTGTTTGGCAGACGAGTGTATTTGGCAGACGAGTGTTTGGCAGACGAGTGTGTGTGTTTGGCAGACGAGTGTGTTTGGCAGACGAGTGTGTTTGGTAGACGAGTGTGTTTGGCAGAAGAGTGTGTTTGGTAGACGAGTGTGTTTGGCAGACGAGTGTGTTTGGTAGACGAGTGTGTGTGTTTGGCAGACGAGTGTGTTTAGAAGATGAGTGTGTTTGGCAGACGAGTGTGTTTAGTAGACGAGTGTGTTTGGCAGACGAGTGTGTGTGTTTAGTAGACGAGTGTGTTTGGCAGACGAGTGTGTTTGGCAGACGAGTGTGTGTGTTTAGTAGACGAGTGTGTTTGGCAGACGAGTGTGTTTGGCAAGACTGAGTGTGTTTGGCAGACGAGTGTGTTTGGCAGACGAGTGTGTTGGCAAACGAGTGTGTTTAGAAGATGAGTGTGTTTGGCAGACGAGTGTGTGTGTTTGGCAGACGAGTGTGTTTGGCAGACGAGTGTGTTTAGAAGATGAGTGGTGTTTGGCAGATGAGTGTGTGTTTTTGGCAGATGAGTGTGTGTGTTTGGCAGATGACTGTGTGTGTTTGGCAGATGAGTGTGTGGTGGTTTGGCAGACGAGTGTGTTTGGCAGACGAGTGTGTTTGGCAGACCGAGTGTGTTTGGCAGACGAGTGTGTTTGGCAGACGAGTGTGTTTGGCAGACGAGTGTGTTTAGAAGATGAGTGTGTTTGGCAGACGAGTGTGTGTGTTTGGCAGACGAGTGTGTTGGCAGACGAGTGTGTTTAGAAGATGAGTGTGTTTGGCAGATGAGTGTGTGTTTTTGGCGATGAGTGTGTGTGTTTGGCAGATGACTGTGTGTGTTTGGCAGATGGGTGTTTTTGGCAGACGAGTGTGTTTAGTAGACGAGTGTGTTTGGTAGACGAGTGTGTTTGGCAGACGAGTGTTGTTTGGCAGACGAGTGTGTTTAGAAGATGAGTGTGTTTGGCAAACGAGTGTGTTTAGAAGATGAGTGTGTTTGGCAGACGAGTGTGTGTGTTTGGCAGACGAGTGTGTTTGCAGACGAGTGTGTTTAGAAGATGAGTGTGTTTGGCAGATGAGTGTGTGTTTTTTGGCAGATGAGTGTGTGTGTTTGGCAGATGACTGTGTGTGCGTTTGGCAGACGAGTGTGTTTAGTAGACGAGTGTGTTTGGTAGACGAGTGTGTTTGGCAGACGAGTGTGTTTGGCGACGA